GGGTGGCTTGCGTCCCTGAACCTTACAAGCAATGCAAAAGGAGATCATCAGATCAGTAGAACGTCTCGAGTGTAGCAATAGCGGCACTTGCGAGAATGAGGGTATGATACATGGCCAATCGAGATGTGCTCACGCACAAGTGCGGGATATATGCATGTTTATCTCACTCGTCCAAAGATTCACCGCACAGAAAAGCTTCGCCAAGTGGGTTATCATAATCAAAATACTCGGGTGTACCAGTTGTAGACATGGCCTACTGTGATACCATCACTAAAATAATCATCCTGTCACTGATTGTTTTCCCCTAGGATGACCAACTCTTCACTCTTCACTCGAGTATCAAGCATTAAGGCCTTTCTTGACCTTACTCGAGGAGCTCGGTGGGGGTTGGCTATAGGGTTCCCGGTCGAAGGGCTTCTCCTGCGTGAATCAAAGTGATCTAAATGGTCGTAAAGGGAAGCCAACGGGACCCTACATCAATCAATTTTGAACAACCTTCAAAACGAAACCACGTTCACGTCCCTAGGATACATTTGGGGCCATCCAACGAAAATCACCTTGACTAGCTTTAGGCAACTTTCTTCAAACAGGTGGTTTGTGTGTCTGGAAATTTTACACCATGTCCAAAACATGAAATAACAACTGAGCAGTGTTTTTTTGGTGGTTCGGGGCCTATACACTACTTGCACGCCTACACGGAAGCCTCCGCAAGCCTACGCCGCTGCAAAGGGTGCCTACGCGAGCACAAGTCATCTTCCAGGTGCCTACGCGGACGCCTACGCGGGCAAATGTTCAGTTCAAGTGTTGAAGCGCAGGTTGGCAGCTCTAACTGGAAAATCGCAACTTTTCAGTACAAGAGCAGCTTTAGCAGCTCCAGCTCTAAAGATGACCTTTGCGAAACGATTGAGAAGCCACATCTGTTGAAGGATCTGGCTGTTAGAAAAGGTCTACGTACTCTAAAATGCTTTGAAAGCCTAAGCAAATGCCTACGCGGGGCCTACGCGGAGCCTACGCGAAGACTGCAGAACAAACGGAAGGAAGGCAAAGAAGCTAACTCCGCTATACTTGGCAAACATCATTGAGCCATGATTTGTTCAAACGCCTACGCGAAAAGCCTACGCGAGGGCTGACGCAACAGCCTACGCGCAGAAGCCTACGCGAGCCTACCCCCCCAACCAGGATTGCCTCCGCAGAGTACATGCAGTTCCCTTTTTGTATAAACCCTTTCATTTGATTAAAACCCGCTGCTCAAGTGGATTCCCAAGCCAAGGATCTTGACCATGGCTTTCGTTCCAGCTCGTGTTTTTCCCGGATCGGTGAGCTCGCCAGAATCATGGCAGAATGTGTGAATATCTCACTTCCTGAGTGGATCGGCCAGAAGAAATCCAAATTGTTGTACGCCGCAAAATGGTCCAAACCCAAAAAGTGACTCAAGTCCACAAATTCAGGAAGTGAGATCTCCTGCTTGCCACCTTTTTCGGGCTGCTTTTTGGCCGAGGCCGGGGCCGGCTGGAAGCCTTTCTGGAACTGGAACTGATGCGACCTTGAAGCGCGGAAGGGGCGGGCGCTAAATGGGCCAACCAAATGGCTGTGGTTGTCTGAAAGAAGTACCTGGAAATGGTACCCGCAAAAAAGGGAAATCATTTTGGAGCAATGGTCAACCATCATTTAGGGAAACAATTTTGGGGAAATACTTTTGGGGGAAAAACTTAGAAATTCCCCAACCAAAATTTTGGGGCAATAACTCATTGTTTAACGTTTTGTTTGAGATCCAGGTACCCAAAATGGGTTGCCCTGGAAAATAGAACAAGGGACTAAGCGAAGGTTGACCCATACTGAGCGCTAGCACGCCAATCCTCAAAATCAGCTGACAAAGCTCATTGTCTTGCTGGTGCTCAGTAGGGAATGACCGTTCCGAGTTTTGGGAATGAACCGGAGGGGATTCCCGAAGAAAGGAAACCAAATCGGGGAATATTTTTGGGGGGTGAATTTAATTCTCATTCCCTGCTGAGCACCACTGAATCTGCAGGCTGAATATAGGGAAGCCGCATGGGCGGGACGTCCGCGGACGGCATAGGCACCGCTGAATGCCTAGGCTACACAAAGAACTACACGCCAAACACCCACCAAAGGGACAGCTTTCGGCATTCCTGTTTTTCTCGTGAACAACCTGGTTCTGCTCGGTAAAATACTTTTTTAGTGGTTAACTACTCTACATGACTACATGAGTGTCTGTTTTCGGGAACCCCCAACATTGTGGTTTTCTATGGATTCCCTTTCAAGCCTAGCAAAAAGGACAACCCTCAAACACAGACACGCCCGAATTACCTCGCACGTATTGGGTGTGGGGACCCGGTCCCTCACTAGGACATGGCCTTCAAACAAAGGCCATCGTTGCAACCAGTCCGAAAAGGGTAATCCTCCGAATGGGGTGGACAAGGGACAACCACCTCATGTCATGGCCAAAACTTCTGGGGGTATGGTCTCCGGGCCGGTCTTGCGAATGTTCGTCGAGCATGGGGCGCTTTGGCCCGGTGAAAGACAGGGAACTATCCTTGAATCAAAGAGATGACTTGATCAATGCAGAAAATTATGTTGTTGCAAGCGGAAATACGAGAATCAACGCCTCAGACAGTAGCGGAGAGGCCTGAACAATGCATTCTGCATTCTGAAGAGGAAGGGTAAGGCGCTGGCGCTTACCGCAAGAGTACCAGCATGCCCTGCTAATCCCAAATAATGGAACCTGTCTTTTGACCAATGCACATGTCAACTGGACCAGATTCAAGCCAAAGAAGTAAACTAAGCAAGCCTGACAAATTGCACCAGTGGTGAGTCAAGTAAAGGAATTTGAGCATGTAGCTCGCAATCAAAAACAGAAAAGAAGAAAATAACAAGTGAGCTTGCTATTGTTTTTGTCCAGACACATAGGCCATGGTCAACATCTACTGCTACTCTGCTCGACATGGAGCAATTGATTGGCGAGTCAACCGCTTTCTTTGAATTTTAGTGAGTCCACTGTGTCCTTCCCCAACGGACAACAGACTGCTGGAAATGTTGACAGAACCTCATGTCAATTTTATCAAAAAAGATCGGGAACCTGAAGGTGCTGTATGAAGCCGCCAAGGTCGCAACGGGTTTCTCTTACACTTGGACCCTTTAGCCTTGCCATTCCCATTACGAGACAAATGTTATTAGACCAATCCAGAAGACCCTACTAGTCAGAGGCACCCCCCCAAAATAGATCTGCTGTTTACTGATTTGTCCGGTCCTCCGGATTAGTCCACTGCCTTACACACTTGTGCTGCTGGTGTATAAGCAACCATACCTCCAGAAACCAATAAATGTTGACCCCGGATTAATCAACCTCTGTTTAGTAATATGGGGGTGTTTCCCTCCAAAAATGTGAATCCCCACAAAAACCACATTGGGGTTGATGCATACCGGGTCAACATTACTTGAAAATGCTCTTCTTCCGCAACCCAAGCCAAGCTGCGTCTGACGCGGGCCCTGGCCCGCGTCAGGCATCAGCGGCATCGGCGCCTCCAAAGGTCGGGCGCCAAGTTGAGGCAACACAAACACGTCAAGGGATCCTGAGAAAACGCAGCATACCTAGAACCCCTTCCAGCACCCAACACCCAACCACTGCTTCTTGGATACTTTGGATTTTGGGCATGGCTGAAGAAGGTTTGGCCTTGAGATGAAAGGGAAGCCTGCCCGGAACAAATTGCAATTTGAGCCTTGTTTGGGCATTTGCTCACTCTGGCATACCTCGGCTCTATTTGGCTGTGGGTCAAAAATAGCTTCCCAAGAAGGGAGCTCTGGAAAATGGAAGCATGGACTCAAACCTGCGGTCCTCTGGTGGTTTAATTTTGACCCATACACATTTACTTGGAAACTCAACGGCTGTTGTTGAAAAAAAGTGGGTAGACTGCCCAACATGGTGCCCAGCAGGTCAGTAGGGCCACAGTAGTAAGTACCAGGTCAAACGTCTGTCATGTGTTTGTTAGTTTGCTTCTTTACTGGGCTGTTGTTAGCGGGTTTAAATTAAAAGCCGGTTCGAAATGGGCAGTTGGGGGGAGGAGCTGCCAGAAAAACCGTGGAGTTAAAACTAAACCACACGTCGCGTTTGTTGCTCGTTGGGGCAAACAAATGAATTCCCCAAGGAGGTCGGGACCTGGGCCATTTCTCCGATGCTCTCTTGCAACCCAAGTTGAAAATAGAAGACGACTCACTTCCCAAGTTGACTGGTCAAAAAAAGTTTGAACTTTTTATCTCCCACTAAAATGGTCTTTCCAAAAAGTCCACCAACTCAGGAAGTGAGACGATGTGTTTGTTTTTCCCCCCCGAACGACCCATAATGCTGAGAAAACCAACAGCCAACAAACCACAAGCCACGAACCCAACCAACTGCCCAAAGACCCCCCGAGGAAACGAGCTTAACAAGCCTAAACATTATATTCCCCGCTGTCCACATTGCCGTGGAACCCACCAGAGGGTCCAAAGTAACAAGAACATCGTCTTCCAGGACCCCTCCGGCAGGTTCCATGGCAACGTGGACGGGAGGGTAGTCATAGGGCGAATCCGCTTCGGGCGAGTGAGTGGTAGAACACGGGTCTGCCCAACCCACGCGAACGAATCAAATGGCGGATATCCGGCTTTACCTCCATTCCATATGTGGGTGGGTGGTGGTTCCCATTCAACCAAGGAGGCCTCTCGAGTTGAAAACAACAAACTTGTGTGTGTGTGTGTGTTTTGCTGGTTCAACCATGAAACAATGATCTGCTGGGAAGTAATCAACCTTGAACAAACCAACAACGCCTGGTAATCTGTATGGCCACTGCTTTTAAGGGGCTTCTAGCCTCTGAAAGGTCTGCTCATATGGAGAACCCCCCTTTGGGTTGGTATTTTCGGGGAAAACCCAACCTGAACCACCTATTTCAGGGTTCCAACTCTTACAACTACACATGTTAACTTTGAGAGACGCCGAACTCGAGAGTCTCCTAGACGCCCATGATCCACACCTCAGTTCCAACAAAAACTATTCAGTTCAAGCCAGAAGAGATCGCCTTGTTCGCTCCCCTCAGTTCAGTGACCCTGGAAAAAAATGGAACCCTTTTTTGGGCTTGGACCATTTTAGTGGGGCCACCCAAAAAAAAGGAAACATAATTGGGGCCACTGAACAACTGAGTCCCCCTTAAGGTCGCCTTAGGCTTGCCCGTTTAATTCACCGCTTAGGCGGAAGCAAACTTGCCAGCGACAAGTTGGTCTCACAAATGAGCAAATCTGTCCAGTGGTGAAATCGGTTCCCTTCAAAACTAGGGAATCATTTAAAACAAAAATATTAAGCAATTGGAAGGACAGCTTTCCCTCGTTGCAGAAACTGGATTGGTACTTTGCACTCCCTGGGATTTGGGGTGATCGTTTCGGTGCTAGGAGTCACAATCTCAAAACCCGGTGTTAAAGTGGTCAATCCCCAGAACAGGAGGATATCCGCGCCCGTCTTTATGGCAAGGGATGGCCCCAATTACAAGCGCCAATTTTCGGGGATTCGAGCCAGTGACTCATGCTCACTTCCCAAGTGGATGGCCCAACCAAAGGTAACCAAACTTGTTTACCACTCAAATTTTGGGTGTGGCTCAAAATTAACCAGGAGGGGTTACGCAGGTTTTGGTCCATGTGTTCACTTACCAGGGTTCCATTTTGGGACCAGTTTTTTGAGCCACAGCCAAATGGCAACCAAAGCCAAAACGTGGCTAGAGTCCGAGTCCCGGAACTCAAAAAGCAAAAAACGTCCGAAACGGAAAACTCGGGAAGCGACGCATTCGAAGCGAAGCGAAGCGAGGCTCAGCGAGGCTCGAGGCGCCTCCAGGGCCTCCGTTTGCCGCTTCTGCTCCCAATGCAGCTCCATGACCTCCATTTGCTTCAGTCCCCTTTTAAACCAACAGGGGAAAATAAAACAAATATTCTTAACCAAATGGAAGATGACCTGCCCCCAATCCCCCCCCCCCCACCCTTCGGCCCCCCTTCAGCCCAGGGCTCCAAACTACTCAGCTGCCCAACCAGGTTCCTGGTCGCCTACCCCAACAAAGCCCAGTTGAGTGAAATCCAAAATGGCTCACCCAAAACAACATAAAGAAACAAAAAGGCGGCGAGGGCACCCATTTATAGCAAGGGGACTCTCCCTAACCTTTCATGTACCCCGGTTTTGAGCACGTGGCTCAGTTCTTTGGCTGGTCTGGGCAGAGTGGTGTGCTGATCCTTCGTGCAAATATGTGAGCCAGTGGGGCCAGTGTTTTTTTTGTCAGTAGGTGGGGGAAGTGTTGTCGTGTTCTCCAAGAAGCAAATGGCACAAATCCTTATTCCGCTGGCAAGGAAGCGAGATGAGACCAAACTGGGCGAATTGCGCCATCTACTTTCGTCCAACTGTACTTCGCAATCATGCATTCCAGGGATCTGCCATCATCTTGGGCGCTGATCCTTGTTTCAGGGTCATGGAGACTGGGTCCTCCAGATTTGAGAGGTGAGAATAAGTTGGTACCCTATTTTTTCTGTCGTCTATTTTAGTAGGGGGACCCTGCCCCAAAAAAGGTAAAAGGGCACTACTGGGGACCTAGGAGACTCCAGGTGTACGTACGTATTTGAGAGACAGAGAGGAAGATAAAGAGAGAGAGCTCCATAAATCTCACATCATCCTGCCCTCTAAACTCTAAACCCATCTTTCGTTTCCGCGGGTTCCGGACTACAAACTGACCCCCCCCACTCAAAAAACAAACAGAAACCTGAAACGAATTCCGGGAACCCCTGGAAGGCAACTAACAGGGGCCCTCACCCGGGGCTGGGGCCCCCCCACTGCCCCCCCGAGAAGGCGGGTGGCAAGCCTCAACAAACAAATGCCGAACCAAAAAAGAGTCTTTGTTCCCAAGGATCTAGGGGTTGATTCCTTGTCCATTCTTTTCAACCATCATTCTTTTCAAAAACCTGCTGTTTCCCCTGGGGTTCTGATGATTTTCTGAAAAGAAGGATCCCTGGAAAGAATGGGGAAGTGTGCCCTAGAAAGGAACCTGAGATACTTGTTTCCAGTGAACCTGAGATAAACTTCCACCTCCCACATCAAAACACACACCATCCACCACGCACCACACACAGCCAGACGTCGCCCTTTCGTTTCCAGAGCCAATCCCTCGCTCGCGCGGGGTTGGCCACTCCGCGGCCTGGTCCAGCAAAGCGGCGTCCACATGGCCCGCCGCCTCAGGAAACGAACGGCGGCTTGGATTTGAAGCCTGCGCCATCAAGCGGGCTGGCCTTGGACCCTGATATGGACCCCAAAATTGGCTGAATACATTGCTTTCCCAAGTCAATAACCCCATTGTTGGGGATGCTATCAAGTGGGTCGGACTTTCTGGGTCCGAGATTGGTCCCTTTTAGAGCCAGTAGTGCGACCTGGGGCCATTCCCCATGCAAAAGAATCGGAGCGTCCCCTTGAGCGTTCTTTCAAGGGTGCCCTTTTGTTGGGATCAAGCGCAACCAACAGGACAAACAGCAGTTTCGGGGCTCTCTGTTTTGTGCCCTTTGATATCACAAAGAAAAAAACAAATTGCGCCTTTGTCTTTCCGTCGCGGCGCTGGACGTCAACTCCCATTTTTCTGAAACTAGGCTGGAATTAGGACCCCAGCAAAAAAAAGTGTTTTGCCTGGTTGGTGGAAAACAAAGGGACCTCAAAAAAGCAAAAAACAAAAGGGGGAGCTAATTCTGGGGAATGAAATAGGGGTCGATTGGTACATGTCCCCTTAAACATCACCCCAAAAGCACAGGAGACTCGCCTTCAAAGGCCAGTTTCAGGTGATGTCACCATAGGGGAAATCTAAAACCCCTGATGAAAGCTACCCCAAGCGCACAAACGGAACCGCCCTGCATAAAGTTTGGGACAATTCCAAAAATAACTCACGCTGGGGCGGCTGTTCTAACCTCAGTCGGGGTGTACTCATAGCGGAGCGGGGCCTCCCCCAAACACAAACCATATCCAACCTTTCGAAGTTTCAATAGCAGCTATTTCAAGAAGGTCCTATCCAGCGCAGTTTCCGCATCCGCCAACCGAATCGCTACATAGGGGATCCATGATGAAAAAACCCTCCCAGCACCCCCCAATCTTTGCTTCTTTCCATGTCCAAAACCACAAGTACTATCCAAATGGCAGTTCTTGGGGGAGTGCTGGAACTTAACCAGCGCCTCGTGGGGGGTGGTTGTTTTTAGGGGACCCGGTTTGTTGTTGTTTCTACGTTCGATTTATTATATTCTTCAGATATAATTTGGGTGGGGGGGGAAGGAAGTTGCAATCTCTAGGCGAGAAGCCGAGCCTAGCAAAGACTCCCGCCTCTATTCGGAGCAGGAAGTCTCTGCAAGCAGACAGATCCAGCACCTCGCGGCAGTCAACGTGCGACCAAATCTGCACCCTGGGGTTCACGGGTAGGGTATAAGAAGATACGTTTTTGTTAAGACAATAAAACACATGTTTAGCAATCATTTAGAAAAATGGGTTCACGCAGGCCACCATTTAAACAGTGGGCTGTGTTCATGCAAACTATCACCATTGTTTGCCGTTCAGGAACGTCATCCGAATTGGGTCCCAAGGCCATTTGTTTTGTGGATCCTAATTGTCTCAATCATTATTTTACTCGCTTTTACTGGGGTTGAACCCTACAGACTTGCCTCCACACCCCAGAAAACCTCTGGCAAAACCCGGCAACATCTACAAGTTCCCCATTCTTACCAGGCATCCTTCTTTTCAGGAAGCCATCAAAAACGCAGCGGAAACAGCCGGTTTGGAAAAGAACAATAGTTGAAAAGAATGGGGAATCATCCCCTAGACAACTCCCGGAACAAAATCCGGCAAATGTCAATTCCGACAGCAACAATCTGGCAACAGCCGGGCACTCTGCCCTGAACTGAATATTCAGCTCGTGCTCTCCACCAGTGTCATCAAGCAACAAAACGCACGCGTCAAGGGCATGAAAAAAGGGGGTATGGAGGTTAGATACCGAAAAAAACGCAAAACCTATTACTCAGTTGGGGCGAAAGCTGGGATCCTTCGGCCGGGGCTGGGACCTTTTGCGGCAGGCCCTTGCGCAACAAAAAGGAGGTTATAGATACCACTTATGCAGATGCCTCAACAGCTTGGCGGTCAGCCAGCTTTCCTCTCGGGTCTATTTTCCCTATTCTCACTTGCCCCTTAGGGACCCAGAAATAAAAGGTGATCACCTTTTGGGTTGCCATGACTAAAACTAGACCAAAACGGAGAAACCAAAAGGTCAACAGGTCGATTCGCTTTGGGCAACTGAGTATTCTCTTCAGCCATCTTGTTCACAAGAAGCGTTCCGCACCGTTTTCCCGGCGTGTGATGGGTTATCTAACGGGTCACATGGAACCACCGGGTGTCTCCGTCTGGAACATGTGGGTGTGTCTTAAAATGGGAAGTGGACCCCCACATGTGCGTCGGTGTTCCTCTTGTTTCCCTTCAACCAGCCACAAAGGGATTCCCTCAAAAAGGACATCTGGACCCGCAAATGTCCCTTGAAATTGTGGGATATTGCCCTGAACATACGGGGTGAATACCCTTTTTATGGGTCCAAACGAATCTTGCTAAAGGAAAGTCAAAGCTGTTTCCTTGCTTATTTTATTATGTTTTTTTTTGGGTCGGGGTCCAGTTCCTTCAAAAAAAAAGACGAGCCACCCCCATTTTTTCCGGTGGATGTTCCGATGATCTTTGATCAAATGTTGAGTCCGCATACGTCCATATATGAACCCCTCCCTAGTTTATGGGCTAATTAATCTGTACGTTTTGTCTTGTTATGGGAAACCAGCCCCCAAAGGGTCCAAAATGGACATGGGTTCATATATGGACCTGCACAATCTGCCTTTGATGTGTTTGAACCCCCGCCATTTGGTCCCCAACAGCTGAAGCTCCGGGTCTGTTGAGTTGTCGCCAAGGCGAATGTGGGTGGCTCGTCATTTTGTAGCAATCGGACCCCCATTCCAACCAACAACTCGGTTTTTCTCTGGGATTCCCTTGAAACCGACTCCAAAAAGGGTACCGTATCTGGGCTGTCCTCAGATCCCCTGCTAAACGTTAGCCCCCCCACCCCTAAAACCCTAGAAAGCCAAGGAGGCGGGCGATTCGCTGGTCCCGAACCGCCGAGAGATGAAAAATAAAAAAAGAGACGCGCACCCACCATTTTTTTAAGGGGGTGTCCACCCTTCAAATTCCGCGCCATATCTAAGCAAAAGAAGAAAAGAAAAAAAAAGCGCGCCTTCATGCAGGCCCGCACCATCATGGAGAAGGTCTCTGCCTGAATCTCCACCTGAAACGCCGCAGCGAATCGAATCTGCGCGATCTGCCCGGAGCCGGGAACGGCGACCCTTGCTGGGCGGCGACGTTCTTCGGAATACGATGTTAAACATGGGCAATTGCGCCAAACATGTGTGGGGCGGAATACCTTTAAACATGCGCTGTTGCCACAAAACAACTTTTATGTTGGGTGAATTTGAGCTCCTCTCTTATGTTTGGCAGTTTGAGGGTCCAGGCCGCTATGTATAAGTGGTAGTAACTTGCTGGTGCGAGAGATGCAGGGAATGAGAATTGGAAGGACCCCGAGATGAACCACCCCTTGAGGTTTCCCTTAAGGTTCCTTCAACCAACACCTGGAACGAGCACGTCTTTTTTGATTGGAGACTCCCCAAAACCCCCGAGAGATGGCGTCGGTTGCAAATTGTTTGTTTCAAGCACCCCACGACCCAAAGGACCGAGTTTTTAGAAACTCAGGCAACAAGACCCCCCCCCCCCCGTCAACTTTGGTTTCCTCCAAAAAAAACTTGTGACTTTGGGAGAACGGGGGAAGGGGGTTGGACTCCCGGCCGTCGCAGCCGTCGCCGCAACGTTTGAGCCCCGCTCAACTGGGTCGAATGAATCCCGTTCCCGGGGTGAGCGACAAGTCAAAGTTGGTCTCCCGAAAAGTCAAGGGCCTGAGAAACCTGGGTCAAAGCAGGTGGGGGGGGTGGGGGGGTGGGGGTGGGGTGGGGGGTGGGGGGTGGGGGGTGGGGGGGTTGGGGGGGGGGGTTGTCAGTGTCCGGGGGGCCCCTTAAGGGTTTCTTGGGGAAGCATCACCTCCAAGTGAACTCCAAGCATAGTCGGGCTGGTTCAAGGTGGGTCTGGGGCGTTGCTTGCACGTTGGGCTGGTTTGGGCTTGTCTCGGGATTTGGTGCCTGGCGTGGAATGAGTTCAAGGCTGATTTAAGAGGGCGGTTCTTTAACAAAAACGACAGGCCTATGCCTCCAAACAACACTAAACACTGCTAACATGTTTTTAGTTTGGTCCCAAGAGAAATCAGGACGAAGAAAAAGGCCCAAAAAGGTGATGCGTGAACCACCCGAAAAGGGGAACACTAGGTACGGTTTAGGCTTTCGCGGATTGAGATTGACTTCAGGCCACGGAAACAAAAAGCAGCGCAGTCATTGTAAAGCAATCGCGTCGTTTGCTGTGTGATTTATTGAAACAAAAACGCGATCTTACGTTTGCTGCGTGTTTCCTGTTCTTCGAAAAAACCACTTCGGGTTCACATTGAGATGTCATATTGTTCAAAAACACGACATGCACACTGCACCCAGCCCAATATTTCTGACTTGCCGAAAGGACCTTTTGGGACCTGGGCCAAAAAGGGGGCAAACCCCAAAGGTTAAACGGTCGGGTCTGAACAACTGAGTTCATTTATTCGGGTGTAAGTCAAAAATAGGACCCAAAACGGAATCCTCGTAAATGGAAAAGTACCCAGACGCTCCTGGGGCTTCCAATGGAAGACCCAAACCCTCCATTGGACACCCGGGGTGTTGGGTAGCCTATTTTAGTAGGGGAACCCTCCCAACCAAAAAAGGGGAGAGAAGGGCACTACTGGGAGACCTAGTTAAGAAGAAATACCAGACTTCAGCTCCTTGCTTAGTGCTGGGCCGAAGCAGCGGAGAGCTGGTCGTAGAGGCTGCTGGCGACACTGGACAAGAACTGGTTGGACCTGCGGTCTCGGAACCAACCCCAAGATGATGTGTCCTTGGGTTGGCATGACACTTTGTTGACATTGGAAAGGGGGTAAAACATATATATTTTTGAGCAGTTAAGTGGGGATTTCCCAACGACAACCCTGATGGGCCGAACTTGGTTGAAACAAAGGAACCCCAAAGATTCTAAGGGGTTGTCCTACTACACCCTGGGTTTACGCCATCTGGGAAATCACCCTATTCTAGGCTATGTCCAGATAAATCATCGTTGTTATTGTTTATTTAAAGTTATTTTGGGAGTTTCCCTAGGGTGTAATCCCAGGGTGTAATCAACAAATCCTTAGAAAGATGCAGTTTGTTGGGTTCGCACTAAGCAAAACTGGTTGAAACAAGGGAAACTGGCTTAACATCAGGTTGTCTGGCTCATCAATTGAAGAACCCACAAGAAACAACACTTATGTCGTCCAGCAAGCCTTGGATAGGGTGGTAGGGGCGGGTCCCCCAATTCCGGCTGCCCAGTCTGTGTTTTTTTGATGGCACCCTTTTCACCTTAGTTTAAAGAAAAACCAAACCGAACACCACATGTTGTTGGATCCCGAAACGCCAAGGGTTAATTCCGGCCACTCTTTACAACCATCGTTCTCAAAACCGGCTGCGTCCTTTTCGTTTTGGGTGCGGTCTGTTGAAAAGAGAGTTTCTGGAGAGAATGGGACAGTTGCCCATAGAAACAAGCCCAACAACCCTTCTCGTCCTCTGGTTGCTCAAGAGGGCAATGAACTCAACTTGGTTGGACTTCGGTCAAACCTTTCTGTTTGTTTGGGGAAATCCTAGAGACCCTGCATGTTGAAACATCGTTTGGAGCAAACCAAGTCCCCCAGTCAAACATATGGTGAAAGAAGGTTCGCCTAGGCCTCGACACTTGGGGCCTTTGCGGTAATGGCACCGTCGTCGCCATCTTGAGCACTCAACCAAACAACTCAGGGCCTCCTTTCGCTAAGTGTGGCCGTGTGAAAATAATGTGTTTTTTTTTTTATTCATCCAGGGTCCCCGATGTCAGCTTGCAAAGTGGCTTGGCCCTGAGCAGATTGAGCTGAACTTTGTGTTTACCACCAACATGTGCTTCCCCGAACCATTGCATTGTCCAGATATTTTTTGAAGTGCGTGCTTCTTCAGACAAGGCCGCGTCAAAACTATTTCAGTCCCCTATAAATGATGACCTCGCCATGCGGTGGTTCCATTCGAAAAGGAGGTGCATAGTTCCAACTCTGCTTGAACGTGCAATCGCTGCAAAAGATTCTGGATCTTGGGAAGTTTGTGGAAGAAGCTGAAGGATCTCTGCCGGCAGCCTTCGTTTTTGGTCTTCACGAGGTGGGACAGTCTGCCGCGGAGAGATCCGTAAACCCAGCAGCTTTCTGGTGAGAACGTGTCCCACACAACTTTAGCTCGGGCCGTCGACTTCGGCGCTCGCTGCTTTTTGCCTACGCACCTTCCAGAACCAAACGAAAATCGCATGGGAGGCTGAAGAAAGTACTTCTGCGGTCGACTTTGTTCTCAGAACGACTAGTTTAAACACAAAAGTCGGATGGGTTCCAAACAAACCATTCGCTACGGAACGGAACCTAGTTTGAAAGTCCCCCCCCCCAGCTATCGGAATTTAAGCCCTAGTGCATGCGGCGAATCACTGACCCCTCCCTGTATGACAATGCAAGCATCAACATAGCATTGGCTACAAATTCGTCCACAGGTCAGCAGGGGTAATGCCTGGATACCACGAAGAAAAAAACAAGGCCCTGCCCTGGAACGGATCTTAGAACCTTCTGAGGACCACTTTCTGGGGGGACGTAACAGTTAATTTAAGGGGCAAACAAACATACATATTTGTCCTTACGGTTATAAACCTCGATTTGCGTACGCCCCCCTGGAAAAAAAAGTAATATGTCCAGTAGTGATAGGTTCCCTGTAAAACCAAGAGGGACAAATGAAAAAAAAACTAGGTCCTCCAATAGAGAGGATAGAATACGGGTCCCTTTTGTCTGTAGTCTATTTTAGTAGGGGAACCCTCCCAACCAAAACAGGGGGAGAGAAGGGCACTACTAAAAGGGCACCTAGCTCGGGGACCTAGATATTCTTAAGCAACTGGCAGTAACTCATGACTCAGGTTGCTTTGAGCGTCCTCCATTTGCAACCCCCGTCGAGTGCTGTGGCACGGCCCTGTCTACGGGTCTGCCTGTCCACGTCCATTTCCAGGGCGCCCCGTAGCACCATCTGCGCCTGGAATTCGTTTTCGGGAGTCGCGGGGCATAAGGGGCGCCCTGGAAGTCAAAGACCAGGCTGGGTGCCAAACCAACAATGGCTATTTTCCTATCCAGCACCCCCCCAACAACCCCCAACAACTGCTGCTTGGACAAGACCAGTCTGAAAATAGGGGTACCTTTGGACAGTACTTGTGATTTTGGACAAGGCAAAAGGCAGTTGTTGGGGGGTGCTGGAGTGGTTTCTCTTTGAAGACACTCCAAATGGGGTCTCAAAACAAAGAGACAAACAAACTGTCATTGTTTGTCGGCAAAAGTCTGCTGGACCATGGAGCAATTCCCAGTCCAGCAGTTGCACTGTGACCTTCCCCAGGTCAGCGGAACGGAGAATGGGTTCATCCCAAATGGGGAAGGGGGCCCGGGACCCCATTCCATTAGTGGTAAAATGGAACCAACAGAATTCCAGTCTAAGAACCAACTACAGACAATTATATAGGAAATCCAAGATTTTGGTATTTGGCTAACTTCCTTTGGAATTTCCTGTAGCTGATTTCTAATCCACCCAACATGTATAAGGGGAAGGGGGTGGGCCCGGGACCCCATTCTATTAGTCAAATGGAAAATGGAGTCAACCGAACTCCAGGTATACCCAAATCCATTTCCTCCATTTGCTTTTTTCGCCCCCTGGAAAAAATCACATGTTTGCAAGTAGTGTAGTGATAGATTCCCTTTTAAAACCAGCAAGGGAAAAACAACATGTTCTTAAGCAAATGGAAGATGTCTCTACTGGATGATCCTTTGGCTCTGAAGCCCACTGCTCGTCCTCACCTCAAAAGCGGCGACGCCTGATTTCGTCAACGCGGAAAGTGTATCAAGGAAAACCCCAAGGGTTATAAGGTCGAGAAGGATTGATAGGCCTAATCCTGCAAAAACGGGTAGCGAACAAACTTTGTCCGTGTGCTTGTGGCAATATTTGTGTGGGCTTCTGTCGGGCAAATAGGTCCTAGGCTTAGAACTTGGGCTAAGGGCGAAACCTTGGAGACACCTTGGGACGACTTGAACAGAGTCTTGCTGCACTATGACTCCTTACCTGCCAGCACCCGTGTCCCAACTAGTAACTGCTTTTTGGTGACCGCAGCAAGGGGCAATCGGACATGGTTCAAAAGGCAGGCAGTGTCAAGTGTTTTGGGGGTACCCTCTTTTAGTAGGAACGCCGTGCGCCATTTTGGTGGTCCCGAGAAGAAAAATACACACATAGCCACTTGGACCCTCTGTTAACTTAGCGCGCGAACCCAAACCCAAAAAGTTCAAAACTAAAAATTTGGTCTGGACCCAGAAAGGTGACTGAGCTGAAGTTCCCTGAACTCAGGGCACAGGGCACAAAGAATTGGGGGCGGTTGTAGCGGTTGCGGGCGCCTCCAGGTTCGCCTGCTGGGCGTCCTTGCCTCTGATCTCCGGGCCCTGCGTCGGTCTCCGAAGCGCTCCAATCCGGGGCATCGGGGAAGCGGGGGTCGAAATCGGCGAAGGCGGGGGGGGGGGGGGGGGTGGTTGGGGGGTGGCTGGGGGTGGTTGGGGGGGTGGGTGGGGGGGGTGGGTGGGTGGAGGGGTGGTTCTTTTGGAGTTTCCTGAAGGTGAAAAGGATGTTCTCAAAACAACACAGCTGGCCCACAGAATGGCGATTCTTATGAAGTTTCAATTCGATTCTTATGTCAAACCAAGAGGGAACAGTGGTCGAAATTTGGGGGTGGCCCAGGAATGGTGGAATTTCTTGTGAAGTTTCCATTCAATGAACAGGATATCTCGAACACGCGCACACACACACAACTAGATGGATCCCATGCGCCAGCTTTGAGGGTCTCCGCGAGGGCAATGGAGTTTCGTCAGCTCAGCTTCCCGATCCGCCGCGGCGCAGTACTTGGAACGGGGGCCGGTTTGCTGGCATGGGCAGACTCCCAACAAAAAGACAGAAAGGCTCCAACAAGGGGAGCCCTTTAGGAACAAAAGGCACACACACACACACGCTGAGGCCATGTTTCAAAGACCTTTTTCTGGGACTCCTCAACCACCAGTCAAGTCTAGTCCGGAGCGACGTTCTTTTTGGTTGGGGGTTAAAAAGGCCATATTAGGGCCGGGAGGGGATGAGTCTTACGGGGTGTGGGGAGTGTGGGGTGTGGGGGGTTCCTGATCAAATAACGTGATAGGAAACTAAACAATAACAATGGCTATTAACTATTTCGAGGAAGGCTATACAGTTCCTGCAAAGAGGTCACCATACTTGTAACAATCACGCCTTCGGACCAATCCGGGGGACCCTATCGATCGTTCCGTTTGCGTAAGGAAATGCTATCTATTTCTTGGGAATTCCTCTGACTGGCAAGATCCTCCGGACTAATCCGAAGTGAAGACCAAGCCATCTACTATATGAAGCAGTGCCATCTTTTGGCCATCCCATAAGGAATCCTGCCAACACCCCAAGCCCCAAACAATTGCATGGCCTCATCTTATCCTCCTGAAATTCATTCCCAGGGGATGGTTGGGGGGTCTGGTCCACCAGCTCATCCTCCGCGCTGATTCCCTGCCTTCCGGACTGTTCTCGGCGGCGGAGGGTCGCCTGAAGCCGGGCCCGAGGAGAGAGGTGCCAGGCCTTGTTCCCTTTTGGCACGATGTCCACCCCCCCCCCCTCCAAGCGCCGCGCCCTCAGTGCACTTGGCAAGCCGCAAAGACAAAAAGGATGTCCACAGCCCGAAAAAACCCTTTAAAGGCTCCGACCGCTTCTTTCTTGAAATAAAATCAACATGTGTCGCAGGGGACACCCAGCCGTTCTAGTGCCAAGAGTTTTCGACCACTCGGTCGGGCCTTTTGATGGAAGCCAAAGGCCTTTCAATCCACCCTCAGCAAATTTTGCAGGAAGGACCCCTCTGCTGGTGGGTCCAATGAGAAAATCCACCAAATACGCATGAAGCATGGTTCGCCTCTCTGCACGCGGGACCAATGTCTTTCATGTCTCTGTGATTGAGCGGCGTTGCTTTTGAGCCCTCTCATCTGGATAAATCATCATGATTCAGGACTCGGACATAAACCGTCGCTGGGGTCAGTTGTTATTGTACGCTCCAACAGCAAATGCGGGGAATCCGCGAATCATTTGTCGCATGGCTGCAGTTTCTGGAAGCTGCTGGATGTTCGAATGAGTCGAGAAGGGGAAGTGAAAGGACCCCCACATAACACCGCCCAGCTCTCGTCACCATTCGATGCGCCAAAACTTGCTGGTGCTAAGTGGGAAATGAGGGAATGAGCCTGGAAAATCCCCTTAAAGGAAACCACAAGGGATGGTTTGTAGGGGCCATTCCCTCATTCCCTGCTGAGAATCAGCAAGAAAAGGAGCAGTCTCTACACTTGTGTTCGATCTTTCAAGCTATCTCTAGGGAAGTGACAAAGGTGTCCCCATGTTTGGTATGCTCCATACTCGCAAGACCCATGAGATTGAAGGTCTAGTTTGGAAACCAAGCTTTCAATGGCAAATATTTCCTTGTTTAGTCACTAGTTGACATCATACGGTAAGCAAGGGTGGATTTGGAGCGGAGGGGCTTATTTAAGGGACGCTTCCCCGTTCTGTTCACCCATCATTTCAGAAACCACTCGGTCCCCCCCTTATGTTATTTTCTGAAGAGGAGGTTTAACATGGCTATGGGTGAAAAATACGTACCCAAAATGAAACTTTGTCAAATGGAACCTGCGGTCCCCTGGTGGTTTCATTTTGACCCATACCCACATAAAGATTTCGGCCAGTTCAGGGTCTTGGCATTGCCATTGCGGGTGAAGCCATCTGTAGGGACCTTACAGCAAAGACCCTCACGCTTCTGGAAAGCTGGTAGAGAATAAGGTAAGGCCACGGCCCCGCCGGAATTCCCAAAGGCCTAAGGATCTCCCAAGCCTAGTGCTCGCAACTACCCAACGTAACGTACCTAACCCCCTTAAAACTTCCAGAAAAAAAACTAATCCAGGTTACTACCCAACAGCAACACAGGGTTCAGGCCGCTCCCGGCTCCGAGCCGGGGCAAACTTACTACTGCCCCCTAAAAATAGAAACCCAAGGATTGCTGTTGGGAACAAAGCCCAACTAAGGCCACAGTCGCTCGGGTCTTTGGGGTCAAAGAAAAGTCTTTTTTTACGATATCTCCACAACCTCAAATAAGAATCGGATCCCATCCAAATGAGCCATGTCGTAAACGTGTCATGATTTGCTATGTCGTATCATTCTACTTACGCCACCAGCTTACGCCACCTTACGCGTGTGGAGTTTTTGCTTACGCGACACATTTGGAGGTTTTGCTTACGCCACCAGCTTACGCCACCTTACACGCGTGGAGTGTTTCCTTGCGCGCTGGTCGATATGACATGACTCTTACTAAACATGCACACGGAGGTTTTGGACACTGCTCAAATGATGTTCACCTTGGATTTCGCTCGTGTTACCGCTGCCCGCACAGCTCGCCATAAAATCTGCAGGTGAGAAATGCATCTCTTTCTCGATGCCCAGTGGATTTCCATGGGAAAAAAGAATTGGCATCCTTTTTCGGTTGGTTGACTTTAAAGGGACACAAAAAAAGCAAGGGGAAAAAAGGGGGCGGAATCCATCGGGCTGCGGCTAGGTCCTCCAGATTTGGGAGGTTAGAATAAGGGTACCAACTTGTTTTTCTCTGTAGTCTATTTTAGTAGGGGAACCGAATCTCCCAACCAAGAAGGGTACAAGGGCACCAATTGCTGATAAAACCGCTGGGCGGAGTCTCTTTCTCGATGCCTTCGGGCAGGAAGATGCGCTGCTTCCGGTGGTTGAAGGCCACAAAGTTCACCAAGCTCTCAAAGTGCCTCAACGAAAATACAAGCGACTCGAGCGGACGCGACTCTCGAGGGGACGCAGACTCTTTGGGTCCGTCTTTAGGGGACGCCCCCCCCCCCAAAAAAAAAAATGAAGAAAAGTGGCTGTCCTTGTCTATTTCCTCCAGTAGAGAGGATAGAATAAGGGTACCAACTTTTTTCTTGTTCGTCTATTCTAGTAGGGGAAGCGAATCTCCCAACCAAAAAAGTTGGGTGAGAAAGGGCACGATCCTGGGGGACCTTGTGGGGAGACCTCCCAACCAAAAAAGTTGGGTGCGAAAGGGCACCCAGCTGGGGGACCTAGTTGTGGTTTTCCTTAGTAACACCACCCTAAAAAGGGGGTCTAAAAAAAGTGAGCGAGCCATTAAATGGTAGCCTGTCTTAGGTACCCTCCTTCCCACGTTGGCACCTGACACAAATTTCCATGCATTTGAATCTGCACCCTGGAAGTCAAAGGCAACAGAAACTCGGGGGCGAAATCTGCAAACCCCTGCTAAAAGTGTCTTTAACTTTTAGTGGGTTTAATACGGAAAACCCATTCGTTGGCAAAAAGTTGTTCAGTCCTCACATCCAAGCAAAATGCCCAGAAGGACTCGAGTGCCTCGAGTGCCTCGTGGCCGAGTAAAGGGAAACCATCGAAACCCGAGTGATGGAAAACACGAGTCATGGCAAAACCGAGTCTGGCTTGCGTGAGAGTGACAGGAAAACAGGAGTTTTATCTTTGCGAAGCCGCTATTATAAAATGGTCTACCCAAACCAATGTCGAGAATTGAAAAGGCGGCCTCTCCTAATTCTGGCTGGGATTGTCCCTTACTATCCTCCAATTACCCGGGTTTGATTGTGACTCAGCTCAGGCTTGGCCTATTCTTGGTCTTGCGGGATTCCCGGGTGCCCCTTACTGCAACCCAGATCTCCCCCCCCTACCAAAAGGGGAAGGGGTCAGCAAAAGAAAAAAACTGATCCCTTTTTATTGAAAGTCCATTTTCAATCAGTGATCCCGGATCGGAATCAAGCACACATCTAGCTACTGCCTTTGCCCCTCCATTAAAAAAACCCACAGGGTTTTGGGGTCTCAAAACCCGGCTGTTTGAGGGCCCAAAATAATTCGGGAGCATCTGGGTATAGTCAAAAGGTCCCAAACAAATCAAGATGCCGCAGAGTTGCCCTTTGGCCTTTGACTGGCGGAGTTACACCTTTCATGGAAGACATTTAGCGTCGGATTGAACCGTTCCACCTCACAAAAAAGTTTACATGTACATTTGGAAACCACGGGTGAGTCCCCTTTTTTTGCCCCAGCAGCATGGTTGGCTTTCTTTTGGTCTCCCGAAAGCCAACCAAAAACAGTACCCTCAAAAAATGATACCCCCACACTACGTGGGAAAACCGCCAAGCTTTCCCACATGCAAATCAAGCCCCAGCATCACTTTTACGCAAGTCTCTGGCCCTGGATTTCGGCCACGCGGGCATGTCATTTTGCACGCAGCCAAAAATTAGGGATCATATTCTTCCATTTGCTTAAGTGCCCTGGAAAAAAAATGTCCAGAAGTGATAGAGTCCCTTTCAAACCAACAGGGGGAAATAAAGAATATTATTAAGCAAACGGAAGTATTCAGAAGACCTTGATGGCCATCGCAAGCAGAAGGCGACGTCTGCAGAGAATCTGGAAGGTTCTTCTTTGGGCCGAAGGGTCCCGTTTTGTCATACGCCAAGCAAGCGGCTTTCAAGTGTCCTTCGAACCAAAGGGTTTCGATTTGCTAGGATTTCAATTTGAGGTCCTTTGTGCCAAAGGACCTCATAGGCTCAAAGGGAAAGCCAACATGATTCGGGTGGACATGATGCAGCCAATGCCATTTTTTAGGCTTCCCCGTTTTGATCCGTCAGCCAAAGGCTTTCAAGGAAAAACACACACTGCACTGAGGAGACATCCTGCCTAAACAGGGATCCTTACATCATACACCTGAACATTGCCTTCTAAATGGTGGTGTTCCTTCCTTTATTTTGGCGTTGAAAAATCCATGTTTCAAATTGGGCAAAATGTCCATCTTTTAAGGAGCCCTGATGACTCAGAAGTAAAAGCAGTAGCAGAGGGGGTGCTGGTGGGTGCTGGTCCTTTTGGGGGTACCTACCGAGCCCTGTTCTGTGATACAACAACAAGGCCTCCCAAAGACTACCCCGTATAAAGGGGGAGATTCCCAAAAGTATCACGGAAGTTTCCTTGGACCAACCCCGAGTGATCCTTTTAAGGAGCCCTGGAGCACTGATGACTCAGACGTATCCAAAAAGCTATCAGACGTTGTTGTGGGGCTGCTGGGTGCTGGTCCTTTTGGGCATACCCTGCAAAAGGCCAACAGGAAGCCACGGCAAATTTCGAGAACTGAGCGCCGGGCATTCGCCTCAAGGCCTGTGGCTCGGCCTAAGCCCGTGAAAGAGTCGGCAGATCGATTTAGCGATCTGAACTGACCCGGTTGAGCATGTATATACATGTATGTATGTATGTATGTATGTATGTATGTATGTAGGTATAGGTATAGGTATTAGGTATTAGGTATTAGGTATTAGGTATAGGTATAGGTAGAGGTATGTATGTACCCCCCCCCCCCACCTCATTTCAGAGGAACAATTTGGGAAATTTAGTGACTTTTGGGCAACTAGTGGTTTGTTTGTTTCTTTTGGGAGGGGTCTGCCATAATTGCATATATAGATAATTATGAGTTTCTTTCCTGCAGCTCCTGCTGTCGCTCGAATATGTTCTTATCCTTTTTTGGTGGTCGCTTTTTGTCCTTGGCCTTTGTTGTTTGTTGTCATATCCTTTCTTGGTGTCGCTTTTTGTCGTTGGCCGTTGTTGTCCTTTTTTGTCATGGGCTCCCCGAGTCCTGGCTTCAGCTGTGGCACAGCAGCCTGGAAGCCGTGGCAATACCGCAAACATTTTTATGCCATGTGTATACAATTGGTCCTCCAGTAGAGAGCTTAGAATGAGGGTGCCCGATTTTTTTGCTGTAGTTCAGTTTAGTAGGGGAAGCGAATCTCCCAACCAACAAAAGGGGTGAGAAAGAGCATTACTGGGGGGGCCTAGTGTATATGTATATATATATATATATACGTGTATATACAAGCCTTTTAGAGGGCGTCCGTTTCCGGACAGGTGCTTCGAGCCTACGCCGGAGAGCCCTGCATGGGTAACCGGGTAACCGGGCCGGGGTACCTGCTTTAGCAGCGACATTTGACTCTTGCCGGATGCGACTCTTGGATTTGCATGGACCAGGTGCGACCCTCTTTATAGCTTTTTGCTTGGATCCTTGGACTGAAGATCTTTTTGGTTGAAACATTGCGATTTTTGATTGAACCCACAAACAAGTTGAAGATGCTTTTGATTGAACAGGTAAAAACCCGCCGAGTGCATGGTACCTCCGCTTCAGTCCCAAACCGCTTTCGTCGTTGCTTTGCCGCACAGGTCCCTAGCCCTTGTCAAAAACATCGAAATGGGTCCAAGTGCCTGCAGCTGCCCCCGGCCAACCCACCCCAACAAAGCAAAACAAAAACGGGCTCCACGGCCTCGGGGGCCCAAGGATCTTGGAGGGCTTGGGTCTGTTCATTGGACCTAGAAACCTTTGCCCTCCCTCGGTGGAAGGATCAAGATGTTCAGGGAGACGGGGAAATTTCTTTCCTCGGTGGCGAAAAATCTGCAAACCCCTGCAGATTAGTGACGAGCTTTTAGTGGGTTTAGTACGGAAAACCCGTACTAGTGCTAACAGCCCTTGGCGAAATGCACCAAAGCTTCCGGGTACTGTAACATGGGCAAAATCCGCTTCGCACTGGTTTGGATGCATGAAATGCTATGAGTACTCGTCAAAAAAAGCAGAAGAAGAAAAACAACTCAAGCAGTGTGAAACGCGTTTTGCCCGATCCCATTTCTGGAACATGGGGCAAAGTGGGAGCTTCGCAGTATTTCTCAGACCGTCGGATTTCCATGGGGGACAAAAGAATTGGCATTTTCCGGCAGATTTCCTTTTTTGGTGGGTTGACTTTAAAGGGACACCCTAGGGAACCACTGGCAGCAAAGAAGCGGCAGATGTTGTTTAAGTTCCTTATGGGCCAAGGCTTCACGTTTTTAGGGCTCCCTGCAGGGTTTGGCCTTTTCCACTGAAATGAGCCAAATGAGCTGCCTCCCTTGAAAAGGGTTTCTACCCAGAAAATACGCAAAACAAGGGCGGCTTATTCATCCCACAAACGGTGAGTCAGCCAAAGGGCTTGAAGAAAAAACAAAAACTGCGCTGAGTTGAAGGAGACTGAGCATCCCGCCTGCGCCGGTTCCGCCACGGGCCTCAGCACTACCCAGGCCGGGCTAACATGGGAGCAGAGGTGGTTGGCCTCTCACATGGCTCGGTTTCAAAACAAATTGACCATAGACAGCTGGGCTGTCCGTTTTTGCATCCCCTGATACAAATGACTACAACTAGGAGTGGGTTAGATGAGAAAAATCCCACTAAACCCTAAAAGGTGAACAAAAATAAGGGGGATAACTGCGCCACTAAGACTTGATATGTTCGCCGAACGTCAAGCTGGGCGTGCTAGAAAAAGGGACTTCTCTTTTTGCCCTGATTTAGGGCAAGATTGGCACACTTCCAAGACGTGCACGGATGTCAACTCTGGAGCACTCCTTTTCGACCGTACACGCGCTACAGGGTGTAGCATGGACATCATGTTCCTAAATTTCACCAAGATTCAGCTCTTGGTTCAACAGCCAGCCGGGCACAAAAGGGCGCGCCAACTCAAAAAGCCCACATGCTAAAAGTTGTTTCTCCTTTACAGCCAAAAGTCCACAAGTCCAGCGCTGGGAATGCTGGCTGCTGGGCCATGCAAGTGATATCCTCAACATTGCGCATCCACTAGATGATGGGTCCAAACGATTCCAACCGCGATGGCAACCCGTGAATGCACACCCATTCGACATTTGTTTCCAGTGGTTGGGTCATTGCTTTGAGGCGCGTAGCAATCTTATTGCTTGGAACTAGGACCCCAGCAAAAGAATATATGGTTTTGCCTGGTTAGTGGAAAACAAAGGGAACCCCAAGAAAGCAAAAAACAAAGGAACTATTTCTGGGGAAGATTGAAGACAACTCACCAGGAACAATGGAGCAACACCAACAATGCACAAAGTTCAACCTGCGTGGCTTGATAACTGCTCAGGTGGCTATGGATCGAAATTCAACCACCAGGGGACCGCAGGTCGTAGCCCAGCAACCCATTGCGGGTTACCCTATTCTTGACAACCACAGCCATAAATCGCTATGATCATGACTAAGTTTGTAGCGTACCCTGCACCCATTTTAACTTCTGTGAGCCCTCTGCCATGGTCATTGATAGGGGGGTTGATCAAAAGGACCTGTGCATGAGATGACCATCGGCTGGAAAACCCATAACAAAACAGATGATATGTCCCACGACGCTCCCAGTTGGTTTTGGGCCCTCAAACCACCAGGCTCTGAGACCCCGAAACCCCTCTGTGTATGGAGGGTCTGGCTCCATGGGAAGCCGAAGCCGATCGGAGCGTCTGGGCAAATGGGAAAACAAGTACCTACATGAGACGACCATCCGGGAGAAACCCACAAAAAATAGACGATATGTCCCATTACATGGAACAACAAATTACCCATGGCCATTTTGCCGCCAGCGGCTGGAAAAAACCCATAAAAGAAAATGATATGTCCCACTAAACGGAAAAAAAGAGCTACCCATGGCCATTTTGCCGCAGGGAACTTTTGCTCAACCGGCGGCTCAGGCCAGAGCCGCCTTGGCGGCTCCTCCTTAGTCCAGCAGACCGGGCCAAAGACAATTTTCAAGGCGGGACTTAGGCGAGTCTCAGCTTCTTTTCACTGCCGTGCTGAAGAAAAACATGGGTCTACGCGAACAAACAAAAAACACCGGCATCCTTGAGAACATGAAGATTACAGCCAAATGCTGTTTGTTCACAAGCGTTTACACCCCTGAAAGCAACTTGTCCTCACAATCTCAGAATCAAGGGAAATGTCAACTTTGGGGGTGTCTCAACATAGGGGAACCCAACCCCCTCTGCCCGGGAAAAGAAACATGGGCTTCAGTTTCCAGATCAACCTCAGAACGGGTGTTCAAAAAAGAACACCTAAAACTTACCTTTCCAGTACCCAATCACTGCCTTTTTCCGACGGGATGCGCTTCTTGCAACTCAGAAGACAACTTGATTGCCCTCAGATGGGAAATCATCCACTGCAAATGCTTCAGGGTTTTGTCTGTGACTCTTGCAGTATTCTTCGTGTACCGTTCGCCCTTGTGGCAAGAGACCTTCCAGTGGAAACCGGCAAGGGTGAGCAAAGGCCCCAGGCCAGGTGCTGTGATGGAACAGCGAAAATCCCAGCGCGCCACGAAGCGAAGCCATGGTTGAAACCAGAACGTTTCATCTACTTAATGGTTTAATCATAACTATGTTTTCG